ATTCCTATTATATTATATGTAAGCTTAATGCATGGTCACAAAAAATATAATATTTTTTGTTATTTATGCCAAAACAATCATGGATCAATATTTCCTCCATTATACACTTCACAATTGATTTCTTTATTTCTTAGTGTCCAACAATTTTTAGAAATGTATGATGCTTTGAAATCATAGTTTCTTTAAATTAACAATCCTAATAAATTTTGCAAATAATTGAAAACAGGCATATTTGTGATTTGCCCATTCATTTATCTTCAAATAAAGTCTGAGAAATGATATATTTTAATCATTGAAATTAGAGACCTTCACTGGCATTGATTTCTTCATCCAGCCTAGGTCATAAGTAAAAATAATTTTCAGGCCCAGTTCATGTTTAATGGAAATCCAAACCCAAACCACATCATAGGTTTCAAAGATTATTCCCAAGCCATATCCAAAAATTTAATTTATTGTTAACAAAAATAAACAATATTTCAGTATATGGAATCACTTTGTCAATTCATTTAATTGAAATCTTTTCTTAAATCAATAATCAAATGAGAGGAATAGATTATCTGTTCATTCTCCCAAGATTTCTATAAATATTTAGAAAAAAGGCCAAATATATTATGGAAAATTTGATGTTATATAAAATTTATCTAATAATGAAATAAAAAATTTATCAATTCTTTTAACAAATTTTTTATCACACAATGGTTTTCACCTCTCACTTATAATTTTGTATATAATTTACACTTACCTCAAAGAATCATTTATCATAAATAGAAATCAATTATGGGTCCAACCTGATTGCCTCACAAAAATGTGGTAATATTTACCCCATTGAAAATGATTATTTAAAAAATTATTAGCAAAAATAATTGCCATGGTTCAAAACCCAGATAACTTATTAAGTATACATATTAAGATTAAATAAAAATAGCTTCATTCTTTATTATATTTATTTATCTATCATCAAATTAAGGAAAATGCAATTATATGCTTAAAAAATTACCTTTTTAAAATCCAAAAATGTTTCTTTATATTGTTAATTGAGTAGGATTATCTTATCATAAAAGGGATTCTTTATTCAAAAGGTCCTTATTATAAAAAAATATATATTGATAATTTAAAATTGATACTGTGAAAATCTAAATCCCATTATGTAAATGAATTTTCTAAAAATTTAAAAAAATAAATATAGTGTATAATATTTATAAATTGACAGATATCTTTTCTTTAATTGACATTTTTCAGAAAATCAACGATAATCATATCGATTATTGGATTTAAAAATATCATAATACAAGTCAAAAATTACCCTCCAAAAATCAATACCTACCCCCAAAAACAAATGCCTACCCCCAAAAATCAATATCTACCCCCCAAAATTAATACCTACCCCCAAAATGCCAATATTTTTTGGAGGCATTTGTCTCCTACCCCCCGGCCATGTAGACACTGACGATAGGTTTGCCTCTAGGTTGTGAGATAGTGCAGCCTCATGCTTGCATTAAATGCAATCACCCGTCGATTCAAAGAGTAGTCATGGCTTAAATTGTACATTTAGTCAAGGGCGACATCAACGCCACTCAGCTGTAACATATAATAAATAGAAGCCTAACAGCTGCTCACATTCCAAACAATCTTGAACCATCAAACTTATGTCAAGTATATGGTTTAAGACCTGATGGTTAGACAACCATACCTTGGGCCCTCGGCAAATCACTCATATGGGATTACACGTGTGTCTCATCCTTCCATTCAAACATAAATTTCAATTTAATAACACAGGCAGAAATTAAAAAGACAAACAAATACAAAAATTTTAAAAATTTAATATTCACTCCAGTAGTGACCTCTACTAACGGGCATTTTTCGCCTTCAACATTTATGTTTTAAAAATCTGGGTAATAAAATACGACTTTTCACAAATGAATCCAGTGAATTTCTTACGAAAAAATATTCAAATAGAAATTTTTAGACACAATTATGGTTCCTTTTTGGGTACAAATTTATAAATTATATTTTTTTTAAAACTAGGTTTTATGTAAAAAGAAATTTAATAAAATCATTTTCTATTAAAAAAAAAAATTTAATATTTATTATTTCGTCAATCAGTTTTACTCCACTAAACAAAAACCGAGTTCTAAGTTAAATAAAAAATGTAATATCAGGCTTTAGACTGCGTTTTTAATCTGATTTTGAAACACTATTTAAGAATAAATTATAAATATCTAGAATTTTTTGTTTTTTCATATTCTTTGTGTTTAATTTAATCATACATGTTCCGATATTGAAATACAGTGAAAACTCATAAATTAAGAAAATCAGTTATATTTTAAATATTTCTTGCGATTTTGTCGAATTATTTATAAAATATAAATGTTATAATTAATTATATAACACTTTTATCTAGCCTCTATTGAAGACTAAAGATTATCAAACAGCAAGAAACAACTTACTTTGAGCCATCTAGTGATGAATATAAAGTAAGGAGAATATAAATCATTAAAATTAAGGTTGTATAATTAATCTTAGTGGTAGGTAGTTATAGAGTTGGGCAGATCCTCATGAAAAAGAAACTAGATTCAGATTCTTTATAAAAAAAGTGGATATTAAATACAGATATTAGTATTTCTTATTCAAGATATAAAAAAAAGATACAAGAAAAATTATACCTATGACTTTTGCTGAATGAAATTATCTTAAATATAAAATACTATTCATAAAATTATCATTACCAATTAAATTAGAATAGTTAAACATGAAATAAAGTTTTTATTATTTATTTGCGAAGAACATAACATACGCATATTATGGAAATGAATATATGATATAATTAATAAAATATTTAATGACGAGTTACTTTTAATAATCAGGCATTTTAATATTAGTTTTAGCCCATTCATAGTATATACAAGGAAGGGAGACTAGAAATTTTAATGGGAGTTGATATATTAATTTTTACAAAAGGGTATCTAAAGTTTATTAAATCAAATCGTTATTTTTTAAGATAATCAATTTTTCAAATAATTTATCATTAAGCCTTTGCCCTTTCGGAGTATTTAACATTGTGCTTAAAACTGAATAATCATTCAACTATTCAACTGGAGCTGATGAAGCTATTGCAGAATTATATTTAAAAATTATCCTAATGGAAGATAATAATTAAGTATTTCTAATATTTTGACGGTTAAGATAATTTTAAACCTCCAGCTCAATTATTTTTAACTCAGCAACATTGTTTTACTAAAAAAAAATAGTGTAATCATTTTTATTAAATATTTTATCTATTTATGTTATAGTTTGAGCTTTATTATATACTGTAGTTTGTCTAATAAAATTGCTACAGGGCTTTAAACCAAACCTTACAATATTCTTTAATATAAGCAATATCCCCTTCTTTAAAAACAGGACATTCAATTGTTTCAGATAATAAATTTAATTCTGATTTATATTTTAATATGTGAAATCATACTATCGTATTGGCTAATTCATCTAGTTATGCATGTAACTTTGGACTGATTATATTCTGTTATCTTACTTATCTTTTCTGAAGACCTTTATTTTTTCCACTATCCATGCATTAACATTTTTCACCTGCTCCTTCAGTTTCTTGAACACTATATATAATTTTAAATTATTATTTTCCACTTTACTAACAGAACATAGGCGTAGCCAAAATTTTTCTAAGTGGGGGGGGGGGAATTAAAAAATTTTTTGGGGCTTCCCCCAGTCCCCATTTTGTGCTAGCCTTCGTCCCGATTTTGCCTAGCCTTCGGCCGGGTTACCTAGTCTATATATAGTCATAAAATATTTTTACAAGATAGGAGGTTAAATTTAATAAAAAAAAATAAGCCTAGAACAAATAAGAAATATATTTTTATTAGTTTCTATGAAATATAATAAATTACTTGTATATACATTAATAAAAAGCAGGTATAGACTGTGCTAATACATCTATTACTGTAATGAAGAGAAGTGGGTTGAGAGCCGACCCTTAATAAACTCCTTCGGCTATTGTGAAGCCTACTGAAGTACCTGTTGTGCTACGGACCATTGTTGTATGGCCCATATACATATCCAGTATTATTCTTGTATATTTTTCGGGAACTTTTTTGTGGCGTAGCGCCCACCAGATAGGTTTTTTTGGGATTCTATCGAAGGCTTTTTCTAGATCGATAAAGACCATGTGTAGCTTTTTGTTCTTTTTCCTGTATTTTTCACTCATTTGCCTAATTGCGTGGATAGCATCAGTTGTAGATCTTCCAGGCATAAAACTAAACTGAGTCTCTCCTATCGATTATGTCTCTTAATCTCTTTTCTATTATTTTTTCGTATAGTTTTAGACAGTGTGACATTAGTTTTATGCCCCTGTAATCTTGAAAATTGTGTGGATACCCTTTATTTTTGAAGATAGGAACTAGATAGCTCTGCCTCCATTTTTGAGGGTTCTCTTCATTTCCCAGTATTTTATTGTGCAGATTTGTGTGGAGATGTATTCCCTCATCTCCTAGTGCTTTAAGGCTTTATATTAGAATATCGTCTGGACCCCTAGCTTTGTTTTTCATATGCTTGAGGCATGTGATTATTTCTTGTTCTGTTATAGGTTGTACAAGGTTTTGACATGGGGCGTGTTCGTCTAGATGTAGTATGTGGGGATTAAAGTTGAGAAGCTCCTGAAAATATTCCTTCAATCTATTCATTATTTCTTTTTCCTTTATTATCAATTTCCCATTTTTATTTTTAATTACTTTCAGGTATCCGTTTATATCCCTATAGTTCTTTTCTCGCTGTTTGGCTAATCTGTATATTTTATTTTGCCCTTCTTTGGTATGTAGTGAGAATAAATGTAAAATATTTATTTCAAAATAATATTTTTTTTGTGATAAGGTTAATAGAAGCATAAATAGCAGGTTCAAAAAGCGCCTTTAGGGCGGCCTCAAAATATTTTAAATCTAGGAGGTTCCAGTAAGATTACATAGCAACATATATTTATTTAAAGAAGAGATAAAATATAAATCTATTCATTATCTTTAAAAAATGTTTAAGAAGATATTATTAAAGCATTCCCTATTATAAATATGTTGAATATATATTTTATTATTCATTTTTATATTTTAAATTTGAAAAAGAAAATATTTTTAATGAAAAGTCAAGTATTTAATTGTATGCTCGGATAATTTGTAACTATAAACAAAAACTTATATGTACCGATACAAGTGACTATTGAGAAAGAATCATCCGTTAAAAAAATTTATGAATTATAAAAAGTATGCAATAAAAGTAAGAAAAACAATTGGAAAAGATATATCTAAATTAATAAAATTAAATTATAGGCAAAATCATTGAGCCTGCTCTAAACGTTCGATGGGGGAGTCTGACTCTATCACTCTGTCTCCAAGGAAGATGAAAGTCTCAGGCTACGTGCGGACTTTAATAATACGGTGGACCGGTGTTAGACGATGTATAATATCCTATACCGAGGATAACCGATCTCATTGCAAAATTATCAAAAGAAGAGAAGTTTAGCAAAATAGACTTCTAGCAAGAGTTTTTTCAATTACATAAAGCATATTTCAGATCCATAAGATTACCTTTTGGTTAAAAACCGCTTTCCATAATAACTTTTTTACCCAATTCGCCCTGCTCTTAATATAAATTTTAAATGTCCATCACATTTTTATTTAGCTTTTTTACGAAAAATGGCTAAATAATTTTCTATAATAAAAATATCATTCAACAAAAAAATATGTGTAAAAATTAACAATCAATTATTTTTCGATAATTAAAATATCATTCTACAAAATAATATTTTTTAAAAAAATAATTAAATAAAACTCAACCATATATGACAGTAAAAAAAATAAATTTAAGGCTCATTAATCATAATCAGGGTACTCTATCTGACAAAGATGGCACAAATAATCAATACGAAAGAAGGAATCATTGTTTTTCTAATCTGGTAATGAAATGCGAGGAGGCTACCGATGAAACCAAACTTGAGGGATAGCGTGTAGGTAGATGATGGACGCTAAAAACTAAGTCTCAGAGTTTAATACCCAGATTCGGTTATAGAAACTTTACGAGGAATACCGTGATGAGTGCAAAGGCGCGCTTCCCGATTTTATTAGAATTTTTTTAAACTTATATATTATATTTGCAATATTATAATTATAAAATACTAAATATTTCCATTATAATGCAAAATGACTTTGTTATGAGGTTTTAAGGGAGGGATTCCGGGGTTAATGTTT